GTTGGGTCCAAGCGCTCTGTTGAACGACTTCTAACAGCGCCGCTGCAAAAGGTCCGCCTGATTCGATTCGCTGGAGCTCAATCCAGGAGGCCTCCGGGGCGTTGAAGTCACCCACCAGCAGGAGATGAGTGAAATGGTAGTTAGAGTAGAGTTGCTCAAGGGTTTGTATGAGGAATTGGTCATCTTCAGGGCGACTCGAAGGGCTGCGGTAGACCACGCCGAGAAGGAGAGAGTCGGACCTGCGCAGCGGGATTCGGACCCACAGTGCATCGCAAAAGGGTGCACGGGTGGTGTCAGAGAGGACAATAGGGATTGGTAGGGCCGCGTGTAAGTACAGACCAACCCAGCCAGCCTCCCCTCGTTTTGAGTGAGCTCGAAAAATAGAGTAACCGTCTATCGAGATCTCCGCGTCAGAGACATCTGGTATGAACCAGGCTCTGTGAGTGGACGGTTGTTCAAGGCAAGCTAACTGTTTGGCATCCCCGAGGACTGAAAAAATCCAGAGTAGACTCCAATACATGGGCTTGAGTTAAATGCAAACTCATTACATGAAAATGGAGGCGAACGCAGAACGACTATGTCGTTTGCCGCTCATTTCGGTTCCAGCAAATCAACGGACCTGACAGAAGATACGGACGGAAGTATTCTGTTGGTCCGAAAGTGCTCACGGTATCTTCCTACTGCAATGCGTGTTTTTAACAACGTTCACCCCAAAATTTGCACCTTTTTCTGTTCATCAACTTTTCTGCTGTATTCTGTCTCCGTCCACAGGTGACGGGACGATGTCTGTCTACACACAGGAATACAAGGAAGATACGAAATTTGCCTCGTTTTAGTCTTCCCAGACTTGCCTCAGCCCGCTGCAATCGTCACCCTCAAGTCCCTTTTCATTTTTCAGATTCCTATTTCACAGAAATATCTAAAAATTGATGTTGCCCCAACGCTCAGTCGCAGCGTCCCATCAGCCGATCGCCTCCGAAGTGCCAGCGGTCTACAGTGGGATTACTGTCCTTGCTAGTCCCTCCACGGGAATGTACGTTAACTCATCTGACCAATACTGCCACTACTTATGAATATCCTGCGCCACTCGTGCAAAATCTGCCCCCACAAACCCTTCAATGGGCTTTCCATCCCCTTCCCATTGAAATGATCTCCACACATTTTTATACCAAACGGCTGGCTGAGCTTAGAGAAATACGCTCTGCAAACAAATTTGGTTTTGCGGGAGACGCTTCTGGAACCCATCTGAATCTCTTGTTCACGATGTTTTCAAGCAACTGAATGTGTTCCAGTAGGTAGCCTCATGCTTCAGTTGGCACGATATTCGATAGATTGCGCCACTCATATGGTCGAAGATTTTTCAGCAACCTTACGAGTAGCTGTCCGAGCTGCTTCATCGAGGGCTGGCACATACCTGTGTAGCGCCAGTCAACGTCACCCTATCGAACTACAGGCGTCCGTCTAGCGATATCGCTCCTCTGCCAATTCTGACCCCGAAATCTGCTCAGGAGGACGGCGGAACGCTTTCTGACCGATTCGAGTGAGTCTCGGTCCTCACGAATGAAGTCCTTATGCAATGGCCATGTACAATTTCAACGTACATCGTGTGCATTACGACAGCTGTCCTAGCCCTACAGTAACCCGTTGGAATGGCTGTTTCGGCCACATTTGTGGTGTTGCGCATCTTTCTTTTGCTTCCATTATAACACTACGTATTTCGTCAACTGTGTGAACATTTGTGTTTGAATACGAAGAACGTCCAAAACGTGCGCTTCTACGATTTCAAGCAACACAGACGCGGTTACGTGCTTCTATTCCCTCTTCTGAGTTCGCTCGCGCTTGAAGCGATCATTTGCGAATCTCATTTGCTAAGTCCTCTATCACAACAACTCAGAATATCTTCAGAATCTGTAGGTGAGAACTGTTCGGATGAAAAACCTGGAAGCCCATGATTGGATTATTGTCTTTTCGCTGACCGACGACCAACTATTTTAAAGAGAACAATTCTTCGTGAGTCTGTTCCATCTGACCTATTTATTATTATGTACTCAAACTAGCGTTATTTTTATTTCATTTCCACATACTCCTGGTAAAGTCGTCTTTTGGATAACCAGATCACTACACTGTTAAACGCGCCATTCTTCGGGACCCTAAATTTACTACAGATAATAAGGAAGATATCTAGTCAATCCATCTGCGTGTCCGCAAACCATTCCCTTTTGGATGCTCATTTTCCTCGTCTATTCTCCTTCATCGACCTTTAGATGTACCGGTCCTACCGAATTCAACAATCCATAATCTGGTCGAGTAGCATGGAGCACAGAAAGATCCAGACTTGTCGTTCATAGATCCAGATTTGGCCGCGAAATTGTTGGAACCTGTCATTACTGTCGACTTTATGCCTAAGATTATCCCTGCTAAAAAGGGGGCTGTGCCCGATCCGGCCACTTAAACTAGTGAACAGGTCACGGAGCGTGATCGGTATATCCCCGGCCTTATCAACCTACATAAAGCAGGCCTGTGCAACCCCTAACTGATGGATTTCTCAAACTCAAGCATTCGCATATTTTGCGTTCCAGAAACGCCCACCGTGAATCGAGGTGAGTTTATTAACAACTTTGCATGTCCACAAAAATGGTCTCATATATACCATTCGGAATCGCTAGCTTACAACCCCCCACAGAGCTTGTTCAAAGTTGCTCGATCCTTGGCCTACAACTTGCGTAATGTTACTCACCAAACACCAGAGACAAACAAGAATTAATTCCTCTTTTCAGAGGGGCTTGGCAAACAATCTGTGGATTTATTACTGGGCAACGTTTCGCCTTTGACACAAAAGCTTCATCAGGCCATGTAAGTAAGTAGGTTGATTGGGTTTTGAGGCAGTCAGGGAACCAATCCGTGAGATTCCTTATGACCAGTGACTTGATCAGTGCTGGGTGTTCAGTCTGAAGTTCCTGCTTGTTGATTAGTGGGGATAACTAAGATTTACAATAGATTGGTTGGGAGGATTCCTTTTTATGATGAACCCTGATTATTTGTCCTTGCTCTTCCAGTCTAGGACACCGTAATGGAAAATTCCTCTTGCGGTCTTTCACAGACTTTCTTTATCTGTGTTCGTCCGAGGGTGCTGGGACAACAGGTTTGGGAATGGGAGCGAGGTAGTTAATTGGACCTAGTTTTAGACCCGGACCATTTCGCTGATAACTGCACACCGCCTCGTGTCATCTCGGCGGATCTAAGATCGCTCTCCACAAGTTTGCATGTTCTAACCCGTCTATTCTATTCACACTGGGATGCTTGGCGACTTCCTTCGCCTTGGCCACCATTCGCTGCGGTGTGAATCTTAAACCCCGTCTCAGGATATCCACATTTTCTAAATTTATCTTATGCCTAGTGTCCAGGGCATGCCCTACCATTGCCGAATCTTTGACTAACGCCTGGTATTCATATGCATTTCTCGGTGGTCTGTTACCGATTCTGGTGTGCAATTCCCTGGCTCTCTGGTATACATAAACCTTCAAACAGTCCTTACATTTTATTTTGTATACACAGCTCCTAGTCCTATCAAGTTGGAAGGCAATCCTTCAAAAATTCGAAAATGAGGTGTCTCCATGAGACCAATAGTGGATGGCGTAGGTTCACCACCACATGAGCTCGCCAGATTTCTAGCAGGTATCCTCAAACCACTCGACCTTAGGCCACACACATCCATGATTCGTATGACTCTGCTTAAAAAGTAGCCGGGTTTCAGATAGAGCCAAACGAAGTCCTGATTAACTTTGGTGTCAACTCGATGTATACCACTGTCTCTAAAGCGGACGCTGTGGAAGTGTCGACAAGAATTTTACTGTAAGATATGAGGCGGACGACTATACACTAGAGGCTCATTTGAAACTCCGAACTGAAAACCGACGTTCGACTGTGTGCTGACCTTTGATTTCATCTGCTATTATGCCGGAAATCCAAAACCTCAAACGTGGTTTCGAGACTTCTGCCGTGCGGACTTCTCAGGAATGTGCATCTTCCTTGAACAAGTCACACTGGGACCAGCTCCGATGGAAGAACTATATAGGACCATTGTCCAGAAAGTTCACGAGGCTGACGCGACGTTCGTTCCAAAAAACCGGCACGCACTCGGATGAACCGCAGGCTGCCAAAAAGGATTCGGCGACTTCTGGAAAAAAGATCCCAACTCTTTTTCAAAAAGTTGACCACAGGGGATACAGGAGATGAGTTGGCATTTCGTAAAATGTGGAACCGCTGTAAATCGGAAATCCGCCAATGGAACATACGAAAACAAGCCACCATTCTGGACCTCGCTCGAAAAAACAAAAACGTACTGTTCAAGTACATGAGACATCGCCGCAGAAACAAGCCATC